CCGCCCCGCGTGCCGTGACCTGGGACCGTCCAACGCTCCGCTCTCCGGGAGGGGTGCTTACGGGCGAAGAAGAGCTTGACAACACTTTAGCCCCTTTCTCGCTCCCTGAAAAGCTGCACGGAAAGTCTTACATTTTAAGTTAAGGGACAGTCGGAGAGGAAAATAATAAGAGCCACCTCCCTACTGCAAAAGGAAAATGTATCTGAATCTACCACCGCTCGCTCCCCTCACGCTTGGACTCTTCCTATCTGAGCCAGCGCTCTCGTGCTACGCATGCGCCTTGCGTCTGTCTGGGACCGCGTGGTGGCGGGCGCCCCACCCACCCCTGCAGCGTCAGCCGGCGGCGCTAGGGGGCGCACCACTAAACCCTAGTAGTCTAAGCGGTAGAGACAGGGCAGCTGCTGGTCTGAAAGCCCCAAGGCCTGAGGATGCCAGGGAGGTATGCCACAGAAGTTCCTTTGTCAAGGTGCAGAAGTGATGTGCTGACCTTGTTTGCTACTGCAGAGTGGGAGGCATGTTGGACGAAAAAGGTCAAGTACAGAACCCTTTATGAATCAGACGCTGTACTAAATACTGGTTACACAAAGCTGAGCTCTCCATAGAGTAGAAGAGGTGGAACAATAAAGTGTGATGCCATTAGTGAGGTGTGCTGGAACTACAGAGAAGTGCAGCTGAAGGGGGAAGGGAGTGTCTGGAAGGCTTCCTGTAAAAGGTGGACACCGGGAGTGAACCCCTTTAAAAGAGGTGCCCTGAAGAAGGGAAAGTATACATTGTGGCTGCAGAGCCTGCAAGATTCAGGGACAGTCATTAGAGGTGATGCTGGAGACATAGGTAGGGCCAATCCAGGGAAGACATTTGGGCTTCATCTTGAAAACAGCAGGGAATCACGGAAGGATTTTAAGGAGGATTTGTGTATCTCTCTTCTACCAGACTGTAAATTCCATGAGGCCTGCAGCAGCATATTTTTAAATTCTTCACATTGTTTCCCCTATGACTAACCCAGTGCCTGGTACATAATAGATGCACAATAAATATTTGGGGAGTGAACAGAATAATCTGGTATGGAGAAACAGTCAGTCATGTAGAAAACTTGCATGTGAACTGATGAGATTGAATTAAGGCAGTAACCATGGAGATCGAGAGGCAGGCACAGGTTAAAAAGATACTGTTTTAAGGGGGCATCCCTTTGATGAGCAGGAATTGTCAATGGTAACTCCAGAGATTTGACCTGGGGTAGAGTGCATATCACTATTATGCACCCAATAGAGGGTATCCAGGGAGAGAAACAGAGAGTGAGGAAAAGATTATTATGCTGAGTTTGCCTTTCTTGGGAAACTTCCACCTCTTCCACTCATATTTTTTCTGGTCACTGTTCTTTGACCTCTAAGGAATTTCCAATCCATGACTCCTCTTTTTTCTTATCTGCCCGATAGCTTGCTGCTATCCCCACCCAACTGTGGTTTGGTAAATCTGAAATATCCAGCACACGATGGGCAGCTGAAGTTTCATCATACTTGAATTTCATGGTCAGGCTCTCAGTGGCATACCAGGGGCTACTTTACAAATGACTTGCTGTCAGAGGTATGGACTTGCTCCAGATCCTGAGTTTCTGCAACATGACTCTCCTATTAAGGCTTACCTAAAACTCCATACGGCATCCTTAACTCCCATGAACATCTCAAGCACCATTGGATCTGCTGAGACATAGAGCCAAATAGCAAGGCAGCTTGCATTTAAGCTTGGACTTGCTATAGTGACCTCAGGTACCCACTTAAACTGACAGCTGTCTGTGTTTCCCAATAAAAGTCTTGCAGCTGTATTCCCATGTGTGGCATATGCTGCCTCCAAAAGCCAAAAAGTCCCACCAAGTGCTCTGCCTCTTCCCAATTAATAGAAAATGTAACATACAATAACTCTTTCTTCACCTTAGAAAGATTGTCCCAGCATGCCCAGACTTTTGGACCCACAAAAACTTTATTAGCCCTAGCCAGTTTGGCTCAGTGGATAGAGCATCGGCCTATGGACTGAAGGGTCCCGGGTTCGATTCTGGTCAAGAGCACGGACATCGGTTGCAGGCTCCTCCCCGGCCCAGGCACTGCTTTGGGTGCGTGCAGGAGACGACTCGATGTGTTTCTCTCACATTGATATTTCTCTCTGTCTTTCCCCCTCTCCTCCACTCTCTCTAAAAATTAATGGGAAAATATCCTCCAGTGAGGATTAAGAAAACCCCACAAACTTTATTAGCCTGGCCAGAATGGCTCAGTTGGTGGAACATCATCCTGTGCAACTGAAAGGTTGCCAGTTGATTCCTAGTCAGGACACATACCTGGGTTGTGGGTTCGATCCCTGGTCAGGGCATGTAGGGAAGGCAACCAACCCATGTTTCTCTCCCACCTCAATTTCCCTCTCTTTCTCTCCACCTTCCTCTCTCTAATCATCCTTGGGTGAGGATTAAAAAAATAAATTTTATAAAACTTTATTAATGTAGTAGGCCCCTAATTTTTGTAGGGTTTAACTGTCCCCCTCTGCCATGGATGTACCTACCATCCTATCAAGGGCAGTACTTCTGAAATCTGAATGTGCATACAAACACCTGGGGAGTCAGAAATGCAAATTCGATTCAATAAGTCTGAGATGGGGCCCAAGATTCTACATTATTGGCCCCCATTTTTAACCCTTCCTTTATCCACAGCCTTTGCCATATTATTAAGTTTTTTCCACTAAGGGGAAAGTAGTGTTCATCCTCAATATTCATGAAGCCTCCTTTTTGAATTTGCCTACTTGCTAACATTTACTTGTTAATTCAATAATGCCCCCCCCCCCCGAAAATCAATACTCTTGTCACTTTCACAGTCATTTGCAGACATGGGTGGAGGAATGGCAAAAAATTTGAGTTCCCAGCTGAAGTCTCATATTGGAAACAAGTGTTCATTTTGCGATCTATTTAGTGTCACTTTTTTTTGCATTTTAAAATATATATTTGTATTGATTTCAGAGAGGAAGGGAGAGGGGGAGAGAGATAGAAACATCAATGATGAGAGAGAATCATTGATCAGCTACCTCCTGCATGCCCCCCACTGGGGATCAAGCCCACAATCCAGGCATTTGCCCTGACTGAGAATCAAACCTTGACCTTCTGGTACATAGGTCGACACTCAACCATTGAGCCACACCAGCCTGGCACATTTTTTGCATTTTTGTTGGTGATTTCATTGTGTATATGTATGACCCAAACATATAGTAAATGAGGTGTCTCTAAACAGAAACACACATAAACAAGGTTGTGTATTGATCTGTGGATGAAAATGTGACCAGAGTCTCATAGAAACCTAACCTGTATTTCCCTTGGGAGCAATGGTTTAGTTTTTACTAATTCAGTGTATATGCTGACTTTATAGACCATAGATACTACAAATAATGAGACTCTGCTGTATATTTCCCCACTCCTCGACACCGAGTTCCACCACATGACTTGGTTTGGTCAATAAAATGGGAGAGAAATAATGGTGTGCCAGTTCCACATCTGAGCCGTAACTAGCTTGTGTGTCTGCTTGCTGTCTTGCACCTCTACCATAGCCTTGAAGAATGTGCTTAGTTGGCTAGCCAGCTGGTCCCAAGAACAGAGTGAGAGACAGCTGAGCCCAGTCTAGACTGGCCAACCCACCACTAGCCCCCCACTCATGTAAGCTAAATAAATGTTTGCTTGTGGCATGACATTGGGGATTTGTGGACATTTCAATATTTATATTTTTACATAGCAAAAGCTAATTGCTCTACCTGCCAGGAATTTGAATAATCAAATTAAAAGGAGTACTCAGCTAATTGATAGAACTGCCCCACCCCCAACTTCCACCAGAGAGCCCCAGCCTGCGAGGGGAATAGTGCCTCAGCTGAGACTCAGAAAGGAGCACCCCCCAAATTCTACTAACCAAATACAAATGTGAGGTTTTACCTCCAAATTCTTTTAAAAAAATGTATACGTTAATGCAACTTTAGTTCATTAACGAACTGTTTAATTATTTTAATTAAATGAGATGTTATTTTAGCAGTGAAAATAATAGATATTCACACTTGATTCAGGTTTTACACTTAATAGAAACCTTGACATCTTTCATATATTTGTTTGATCCCCACCACAGTCTGTAAAGTCGGCAGGGGAGGAGATACAGTGGTCGCCATATTACAAAAAAGGTAAGGGTGGCTTGGAAAGGTTAAGCTGTTTCCCAAGGTTGTAGAGTGATTTCAGCCTAGGTTTTCTGCAGCCACATCTAGGACTCTTTTATAAGCAGGAAAGAAACAAGAAGAGCACCATGATGTTCACAAACCAGGGAATGGAACTCAGAAAGCTGGGGGTTGGAAAAGGCTAAAAAGAAGGAAAAAAGCTGTAAATTATTCTAAGGACAAATCTGCCTCTATTATGGGTCAAGAGTTGAAACATTTTGCCCAACTGGTGTGGCTCAGTGTTGAGCCTGACCCATGGACCAAGAGGTCACCAGTTCCATTCCTCACTAGGGCACATGCCAAGGTTGAGGGCTTGATCCCCAGTGCGGGGCATGCAGGAGGCAGCCAATTGATATTTCTATCTCTATCCCTCTCCCTTCCTTTTCTCTAAAATCAATAAAAAAAAAAACATTTAAAAAAGCAAGAGAGCAGCATTTCCTTAAAAAAATTTTTTTTAAGAGTTGAAACTTGCTTATATCTATGACAGTGACATTATTTTTATTTATTTACTAGAGGACCGGCGTGCACCGGTGGGGTCCCTCGGCCTAGCCTGCAGGTATCAGGCCAAAATCGGCAGTCCAACATCCTCCAGGGATGTAGTAGTGCACGAAGTGGCAGGTGACCTGGGAGGAGCCCAAGCCCTGGCTGGGCACCGGGCCGGGCACTGCGCTGCTCCTGCTCATCCCAGCCCTGCTGCACCTGCCACCTCTGCCACTAGGTAGTGCTGCCACAGAGGTGGCAGAGGCTCATGCAACAGCTGTGCTCACCAGCTGTGAGCCCAGCATCTGGCGCTCCTTGGTCAGCTGAGCAGTGCTCCCTCTGTGGGAGCACACTGACCATCAGAGGGCAGCTCCTGCATTGAGCATCTGCCCCCTGGTGATCAGTGCACGTCATAGCGACCAGCCAAACAGTTGACTGGTAGCTTAGGATTTTATATATATAGATAAGCTTTAAAAGTGCAATTTTAACAAAGTGAAAAGTGTATAGTTGCAACAGCAGTGTCTGAATTCCTCTTAGGAAGGAATTGTCTATTCAGAAACATTCCATTGATGAGCCACTTAATTGGAGATTGAGACCTTAGGACACCCAACAACAGATCATTGCTAAACCTCTCTGCATGATGGCAGAATGTGAAGAGAGTTGGAGAAGGAAGGAAGAAAGAGAGGGAGAGTGAGGGGGTAAATAAAAGGAGATAAGAGTTAGGATCATGAAAAGGAGCCTATGAGAGAGAAATCTTAGAACTTAATGGGAGGTCAAGAAATTTTATTTTCACTGATCACTAATGAGTTTGAACATTTTTTTGAAGTTGTAATTGGCTATTACTTCACAGTCTCCAACCATCCTAAAGTTCTTTCTCAAAAGCCAGTAGCATTTATTATCTATTCCAGTACTTCCCAGCCTTTTTGACCACATGATACAGATAAAAAAATATAATATAAACCATGCAATTTTAACATTGACATATTAATTTTGATGGTTGTCAAAGAACATCAGGGTTTTCCACCATTTCTTACTTGACTAAACTCATAGTTTCATTTTCTCAGCAACTGATGAAAATTCAACAGCTTCTATTCAAAAGCAGCAGGAAGTTCTGGACCATTTGATATTTGATGTCTTAACAATAGTACTTGTGCCTCAAAACCTGCTCTTTCATCCTAATAAGTTTGTTTTTTATATTCTGAGGGATTTGGCAATCTCTTCACTTTAAACTGAAATAAGCAACCCTTTTGATTATTTATTCAAGACTATCCATCTTATTTTGGGACTGTAAATTATTTCGTTGCTTTGTAAGAAAACCGGGAATTTTGGTCATCCCAACAGTAATCTACATTTGCCTTACTGATACAAGTTTACAACCCATTGTTCTCTTTTCATGCCTCTTTCTATATGTGGATAACTTTTTATTATGCCAAATCACAGCCCAATCTTTTAAAAGACATTTTGAATGATAGTTAAGCATCATAATATACAGCTAACAATACCCATAGCTCAACAAAAGTGTTGAACAGCTCTGACCAAGTTCATGCATACACATGCAAAAACAACTGAGTCACAGCTGCTACCTGGCTCCCTGTCACTGTAAGAAGCCATCTGATGCAATGTGCGATATGATTTCTGAGACATTAAATGTGAAAAAGTACAAACTGAACAATTGATGAAATGCAGTATATTTATATAACACCCGACTTCATCAAATACAGTTGTCATAGTCCTAACCAGCCCCGGGGATCAGGCTCCACCCAGCTTTCCCTGGAGCTATGGGGGCCAGTTTCTCTACGTACCTGTAACTCCTTCATGGTGCACCACTGTGACGGCATGCTATCTCATATTATTCATCTTAATAGCAATATATCCAGCTGTCTTCCTGCTGCATGTGCACGTAGCCTGTCATCTGTCTTGAGCCTGCACTGCATTGACAAACCACCATCTCCAAACAGCCTTTCTGTAGTACTTAGGAACATATCCAGAACTTATATATTTGTCTACAGGATGGCTTAATAATTCTCCCCACTTGATCAGAAATAGTGACTACCATAACCTATCAGGCACTTAACCTACTTAGACCTAATTTTTAAAATGAGAGACTCTGTAAGATCCCCCTAAGCCAGTGGTTCTCAACCTTGGCTGCACATTAGAATCACCTGGGAGTCTTTTTAAAATCCTGATTTCTGGGCCTCATCCTCCGGAAATTCTGTTTCTTTGTTACTAATGTTGTGGCCCCACCCCATAAC